CGTGTTCCCTTTCCCACAGAGGTGAACTCCCCACACTCCCCCTGGGAGCAGCTGAGTGACACTCCAGTATTTATTCAAATTAGCTGTTATTAATTAAATAACACCTTTCAGCTTCCTTGGCAGGTTTTCCCCTGCAGTTGCAGCGGGGAGCTGGCGTGTGTCAGGATGTCAGGCAGATGTGAGAACCTCAGGGTTACATTTTTGTGAACATGCACCTCATTAAAAAAGTTATCACTGTAGAAAATAATAAATTTATGGTTATGTCTCTTGTACTGTCTCCTCTTTTGTGCCTTCCAGCTCCTCTATACAAAACCCAACTACCAAGTGCTGTTAAACAAAGGTAGCTCTTGTTCAGCAGAGCTTTGCTTGGCCTTAATTTTGGCTCTGAGGTGGATCCTGCTGGAGTCTGAGGGGTTCAGCATGTGCCTAAACACTTTGCTAATTAGCAACAAAGCTAAATCCCAGCTCTGGGCTTCTCTGCCTTTGTCTACATGTAGATTTAGAGGTGTTTGGTGGTGGTTGGGACTAATTGGGGTAAGAAGGACTTTGATGCAAAATTTAAGCAGGACTGGTGCAGCCCTTTGGGCACAGGGAGCTGCAGCAGCCCCAGTTTGAGCAGCTGTAAACCTGGACAAGCACAAGCCATGGAACCTCCTCTGCACCCCTGTCACACCTGGTCTGCCTCTAGGAAAATGAATGCACGCTGTCCCAGCATTAAAGATTAAAAGCAGCTGCATCTCATCACAGCCAGGAGATTTGTCCAGGGCTGATGACAAAAAAATGGGTTTTGGGGAATAACCTTGACTACTGGTGCTGCGTATTTTCAAGGCACATTAATCACAATTTCTGTGTGAATATTTCTCCTTTCATTGGAAATGGAGAGAGGGATGAAGCGTGGGGAGTTCTGGGGTGGTTTGATTAAAAATTCTGGACAGACCCCACAGAACACCATGGTACAAACTGCTCAAGGCATGAAAATATTCAGTTAGAGTCAAGGTATTCCTTGAATCCAGCCCTTGGGATAAAATCTGGCAACATCGGGGAGTGGGGCTAATTTTTTGGTTGAAATAGTGCTTTCCTGTATTAGAAATTGTAATAATAATTTTAAAAAGAGTATTTCATTTATAAAGACTGGATTGACCAGAGATTCAAAGATGAAATGGTGTGAAAAGAAGAAGGGTACATTTGGGAGACTGGCTTGCAATTAAAGACACACGAGGCAATTGCTGCAGCCACCTCCTGCCCTTTGCTGCCACTGCCCACTGAGGCCACCATAACCCAAAACCTGAGCTATATAAACCCTCCATGAAGATAAAGCAAGGAGGCAGCTCCTCTCTCTCTACATTCTCCTGTATCCATGGGAACAGGCTGGGATTTGACATCTACACAAAAGCTGCAGACAGAAAGCCTGCAGTGCACAGAGGAAAGGTCAGTGGAGCATCCCAGCCATGGTGGCACCCAGGGAGCAGCTGGGGCTCTGGGGACACCCTGGGGACACCCTGGGGACACTCTGGGGACACCCTGGGGACACCCTGGGGACACCCTGCTCCCTGCCCAGCTTTCCCGAGTGCTGTGGTGCAGCCAGTTTGCAGAAAGAAGAGTTAAAGAGCTGATGTGGCTCTTGGGCACAAAGAGCTGGTGGGGTGAAGGAGACCCTACCAACACCCCAAAACTGAATGAGGAAAACAAGAAGATAAAAAGCTGCTTTTTCTAGATCGGTTTGACCGTTAATTTGGGGGAAAAATAAGGAAATAAATAAATCCCATAAGGAAGGAAGGAAGAAGAAGAAAATAAATATCTCTCAGCTACTTCTCATTAGTGGAGGAGTATTTACTCAGGTGAATATTCTGCCTGCTCACACAGCATCCCCAGCACAGGCACACCAGCTCTGCACAGCTAACAAGCTATCAGCGGGGAAGAATAAGACTATTTAATTTCTTAGCACACCTTGAATAGCCCATGGGGCCAACTCACCTTTGGGAAAATGAATACACAACTTTGATGAATTGTATTAATAATGCAACACAAGGACCTGAGAGCAGAGCACTGTGAGCTAGAAACCCCCACCCCGTGTGCACCAAGTCAGCTCCTGAGCCTGCCTCAGTGCTGTGTTTTAGGGAAAACACCATAAAAAATACCTTTGGGTCTTGTCTGCTTGAAGCTGATAAAGGGCACAGGTCTTTAACCCTGTGTCCAGATGATGCAACAGCAAAGTTCATCTGGGGAATGTGAAATCCAGAAATATTCTTTGGAAGAACTGTGCTTCTGAGAAGGATTTCCTCTCCCCCTGCCTACCTGACCAGCAGCTCCATGGACCTCCTGGGCAAGAGCAGCACCAGCTTGCCTCAAAACATCCACCCAAACCTCATCTCATCACAGCAGCTTCAGCAGGGCTCTTGGGCTGCCTCCTTGCCTGGATTGAGGAGTTCTGCCTCACAGGACCTCCTCCCTCACCTGAACCTTCCAGGGGCTCCTCGTGCCCACTGCCACCACAGCTCCAGGGGAGCAGCACTGCAGGGCAGGTCATCTGCATCTATTTGTGAATTTATGTATTTAATCAGGGCTTTTTCACTGTGCAGGAAAGGGCTCTGGAGCCTCAAGGTGCTCCAGCAGCAACTGGAGGAGGACAAGGCCAGTATCTCGCTCTGCGGCTGTAGTTCAAGGAGCCACAGCCTTGTGCACAAAGACTCTGACACCAATTAGTCATTCATGCAAAACAAGATTTTTGTGCTTCTCAGTACAAACCATTTTCTGAGCAGTGTCAGACAGCAGTCACCTTCCCACGGGCCTGGGGGAGGCTTGGCTCATCCCATCGGGTGAATCTGAGGACTCATGGGGTAAAACCTCTCATTTAATTGGTATCTCACCCTAAAACTCCACTTTTTATTTACTGCAGTCAAAGCAGCAGACACAGAACCCAGTGAGAGGGCATCACTGAAGTGGGTGGGAGAGAGACTGTAGGAGGGGACTGAGTGCTGCTCCTCAAGAAGGGAGGATGTGGGGTAAAACCACGCCAGGTAATTAGAAGAGGTGATAAAATCATTAATGGATGTCCTAAGGGGATGCTGCATGTACTTACTCAGCATTTCTTGCTTGGAGACCTGCAGCTCCAGGCTGGTTCTTGGGACAGTGAGCCTGGCAGGGTGGCTGGGCTCACCCCAGCCCCTCACCCAGGCCAGGGCTCCGAGGATCCAAGGCTCTGGAAAAGTTTCTCCAGGGCCCACAAAGGTGTGATAACTGCACTGGTATGTCCACAGTGGGAGCTGCTGCCACAGCAGGCACCTTGGGAGGGACAGGACAGTCCCCAGAGGCACAACCATTGCTGCCTGTGCTTTGCAAACACCGCATTAACCTCTCTAAAATATGCACTTACTGAACCAACAGCAAACATTTATTTTAACTGATTTTTGTCTGTCAGTCCTGCACTTGTGCTCACTAGGTGAATGTGTGAACTGCCAGGCTCACAAATGCAGCCACATGATGAGAATCTCTCCAATGAATTGAAATAATTACTTTTCTAATTCGCCCCTAGACTCTGCTAAACCTTCTGGGGCCTTGAGGAAGGCATGAAGTTCTTCTAATTTCTTCTACTTGTGTAGGCAAACATTTAAATGTATAAAATGAATAATTCTGTATTTAATCAGTGCAAAGGAAAATTCCACTTGGGGACAGGGACATCTCATGGAGCTGCACTGGATTAACCACAGGATGACTCCCTAGTGAGGGGAATGTGGCCATGGGAGAGCCCGTGTGGCTCCATCAGCAGTTCTGGTGATCCTGAACATCTCCCTCCCCAGGACTGAGAATATCAGCATCCGTCAAGAGTTACATGCAAAGGCAACAGCCCTTGAGCCACCAAAAACCACCAGCATCAAGCCCAGCAAAGCAGATCAGCCCCTGGGGAACTCAAAATGATTGCCTGTGAGCTGCAGTGGATTTTTGGAGCCAAATTCACACTGAATATGGGGATCCTGATGGAAAACTGATGTTTTGTCAGGCTGGGGGCAGGTGAGGACCAGCAGATTTGGTACTGGAGGCGGGGCTGTGTTGTGCTTTAGTGCCTGAACCTTCCCAGCAGCCAACCTGTCACATAGCACTGAAAAACTGGGGCTAAGTGAGAGCACAAAAATGCTCCAGGGTCATACAGAAACTGAGGGTGAATAGAACTGCGTCTACAGAAAGATGCCCTGATTTTAAAACTTTGCAAATTAGGAGTCTACCCAGATATACACTAAATGTGCATTACTTGCTTCTCTGGAGTAATCCTGTTCCAGGGCTGGCTGGATACACTCCTGCAGTGATGTCCTGTGGAATGGGTGTTGTAATGGATGCAAACAGTGGTGCTGCACCCTGCTTTGGAGGAGTTCATAAATAATAAATATTTAATAGCGAATAATAAATAATAATATTAAATAATAACAACCAACAGGTCCAACATTCATTACACAGCGTGCTACAAATGAGGTTAAAACTGCAAATATTCTATTTCTTTTAATTAACAGTAAGACAAAACAAGCTCAAATATAGCAAGAATCCCCAGACTGTTTTTTTTTCTGCAGAATGGAAATTTTCAGAAAGGTTTAAAACAACAAGAACAGAAATAAAGTTTGGGCAAAACTCTTTCTCCTGCAAGGTGACAAGCTGGAGCTTGCATGAGGGATCACAGCCTTTTCCTTCCCTGCCCTTTGCTTTCCCTTAGTGGCAGTGGTGTTTTCCCCTGGCAGCTGGCTAAGGCCAAAATGCCAAAGCATCAGATGAAATTTTCAAACTTAAAATATCAAAATAAATACACACACACACACACACAAAAAAAACCAACAAACCAATAAAAACCCCAAAAACCCCCAAACAAACAAAAAAACCAGCAAAAATACCATTTTCTTGACAAAATGTAAAATAAGCCAACTACTTTGCTGCAGTGGACTTGTATCAATGATCTCAGCTACATCACTTTACACCAGTTTGGGGTCTTACCTCCACCAAAATAACTTCTGAAATAACCTCTAAATCCTGCACCTGATGTTTCCCATGGGAAAGGTTTGGGTTGTTTCCCACTTGATGCTGCACTGAAATTCTCCCATTTATGCTTCAGGCCTCCTGTCTATAGGATGGCAGAGGAAATTTGGGTGCTGATCCCTCCAGCCCAGCACCCCAGAGTGCCTCCAGTCTGACATGGGATATTTAAGCAACAGTTTCCAGGTGGCCAGAGAGGAACAACCAGCTGCTGGTGTCCATGGAAGGATGTCATGGAAGGATGGCTATTTCCCATTCCAGCCTGGCTGGAAGTGATATCCAGCAGTGAGAGATACCAACCAGTAAGTGTTCAGTCAAGACAAAATTTATATTTTTCTAATGCTGGTTTTTTGGAATGTTACACAAATATTTTATGCCTGCTGGCATTCAGGCCAGTAAATTTAGAATTCAATGATACAGTCGAATGCACAAACTTTATCAGCCTACCTACCTACACCAAAAAATACACCTTTTTTTCCCTTAGTTCTACTCTATTTTCTTTTTCCTGCTCTTGAGTCCAGCCCTGGATTTATCCCCCAGGCAGAACTGCTGTTTGCTCAGCGGGATGAGCTGAGAGAGGAGGGCTTTGGAGAGATTCTTAGTTATGCGGAGAGGAATAAAACAACCCCAAAAAAAAACCAAAGAAAGGGAAACATCCCAATTCTCTAGGTTACACTACTGGTTACATAACCAATCTCTCTGGTTATATTTACGCTCCTATAAATAGAGAATTGGCCAGAAAAGAGCGGCCTAAAAAAACGACAAACGGAGTCGGGGCGAAGGGGCTGTGGGGCCGGGGGGCTCAGCACGGGGACGAGGACATTTGGTCGTAGTCAGGGCACTTGAGCAGGGCTGGGTAGCTGCTGTTCATCTGCAGGGACGCCTCGCTGGAGATGTCCGAGGGGCTGCGGCCCCGCGCCCACGCGTCGGGGTGCAGGAACTGCCCCGAGTAGTCGGAGCAGTTGCTCAGGCGGGGCCGGTAGAAGCTGGGGTGGGGTCTGTAGAGGTCCTCGGCCGTGTAGCGCTTCATGAACAGGTACACGGACATCACCCCGGCGCTCTGCGGGACAGACAGATGGACTGAGAACCTCCTCGGCCCCGGTGCGCCGCCAGCCGCACGGGACAGCACAGGAACTGCCTGCTTTGGGCTGTGCAGAAATCACAGAAACTGCCTGCCTTGGGCTGTGCTGAAATCACAGAAACTGCCTGCTTTGGGCTGTGCTGAAATCACAGAAACCGCCTGCTTTGGGCTGTGCAGATATCACAGAAACCGCCTGCTTTGGGCTGTGCTGAAATCACAGAAACTGCCTGCTTTGGGCTGTGCTGAAATCACAGAAACCGCCTGCTTTGGGCTGTGCAGATATCACAGAAACCGCCTGCTTTGGGCTGTGCTGAAATCACAGAAACTGCCTGCTTTGGGCTGTGCAGATATCACAGAAACCGCCTGCTTTGGGCTGTGCAGATTTCACAGATATCGCCTGCTTTTGAGTGCCTGCTGATGCTCAAAAGCACCTGAGTGCCATCACCTCCCTGCCCCATGGATCTGTGCTGTGAATAATGCAGCACAACCACATCTCTGCTTCTCATGCCTGGCTCCACCAGGCATAGCTCCACCAAACTGTGACCAAACGCTCCATCAGTGCTCCAGGTTGGGTTTGTCCCCCCTACATGTCCCCTTCACCCCTCTACCCTCCCAGCCCTCCCTTAAACCCCTCTGAGCCCTCTTTTTGCCAAAACCCTCAGTCTGCCCACCCCTGGGAATGGGATACACTTCATACAGGGTGTGGGTACCTCTGTGAGAAGGAAGGAGATGGCAGAGAAGGCAAAGGACCAGCCATATTTGTAATTGAAGAACGACTCCGAGTCCTTGGTCCTGTTGAGCATCTCGTCGTTAATGCTGGATATGTAGAGGACCAGCCCCACCACCAGAGACAGACCTGGGGAGGGACAGTGGGAAATGCTTCAGGGATGAAGCTGCTGAAGAAGCACCTTCCTGACGGCCTGGCTTTGGGGGAAAGTAAAAAAACTTGGGAGTGTGCTTGTGATAACTGGGGAAAGGAGCTGCCCTCCTGCTGCTCCAACCCAGGGAACTCCTCTCATTCCAGTTAAACATTCCCTGTTCAGAGAAATCTGTGAGCACTGGGAGGAGAGATCTGGCTCCAGTAGGAGCTGCTTCAAAGCTCAGCTGTCACAGCTATTTGTTCAGCACTTGCACAACACCATGAATAAAACATTCACTTTTCTCATGTAGACACAGCCCAACTGAGCAGTTTGAAGTTTCAGATCTCTCCTGCGACTGATGTTTCACAAGAAGCATCCTTTCCCCCAGCACCTGCTCCTGCATGGATTGGGCAGCCTTTCCCCACATTTCCACACAGCTCTGCATCCATCCCATGAGGTCTGATCAGGCTGTGGGACTGAGCTGGGAGTGATGAGTCCGACAAGGAGCCACCAGGGCAGGTCAGGAGAGCACCAGCAGCTACCAAAGCAAATGTGCTCCCTGCTCATGGGCTGTCAGGAGAAAGCAGCAGTGCTCCATGCTCAAGGGCTGTCAGGAGAAAACCTGGCTCACAGCACTCACCTGAGAGGATGAAGAAGATCCCCGAGACGAAGGCGAGGATGGTCCTGTGGGGCCGGATGTGGCCGATGTTGCTCAGGATGAAGCCGATGAACATGAAGAAAAGGCTGACTAGAGGGAAGGGGGTGGCAGAGCGGATCATCTCTGGTGAGAGAGGAGCAGAGGGGAGTGGGAAGAGGTGAATATTCCCTAAATAGTGTGAGTAATGTGCTCGGCTGTGTGAGAGGGCTCCAACCCTCCTGCTCAGACCATGTTGTGTCTGAGTTTTCCTCCTTGCTAATGAGCTGAGTAAAACAGAGAATTATGGGATCACAGAATGGTTTGGGTTGGAAAGGACCTTATGTTCCAGCTCTCTGCCATGGGCAGGAACACCCTCCACTATCCCAGGTTGCTCCAGGCTCCATCCAGCCTGGCCTTGAACATTTTCAGGGATGGAGCATCCACAGACTGTCTGGGCAACCTGTGCCAGTGTCCCATCTCCATGGTGGTGACACTGCTGATGTTTGCATTTCTGAGGGTTCCTGTGTGAAATGTTGCATAGGAAACCATCAGAACCTGCATTTTTCTCTAGCTTCACTGCATAAGTATTTTCAAACCACTTCTATTTATTAATTCAGAGATGACTGCAGGATTCATTGTGAGAGCTGTGACACTCCATCCTCAATTCACCCTGCTATATAATGTGTAAAACTGCAAGGGAATAAAGCTGCAATTATGGAGAGGAGACTAAAAAGCCAAACACTTTGATAAACATTAGTGCTGAATGATCAGTGACAGGAAACTGTACAGCTTAGAGCCTTCATGGCCATCCTGCCACTAAAAAGGGATGTCCCCAAAAGCTTAGGAGCTCTCTGGGCAATTCCCATAGCAAAAAATGTAGTTGCATCATTGTGTGGCGGCATTGTCAAGGAACTCAGAGCTTCTTTGTCAAGGACACAAAGGGGATTTCTTGGGGAGGGTCCCTAGCGCTTGGGACTCGGTGATTTGCAGGATGTAAAGGGTGGAACCCCACCAAATCACTTACTCAGGACGTTGATTGTGGATTCAGAGGTCAGCTGGATGTTCATGGGCATGACGTATTCGATGGTGAAGCACCGGCCACGCTCCTCACCTGTGGCAGATGTGGACAAAAACGTGAACTCTGGAGCCATGGGTTTTAAAATCATCCCAGGGGCCATATCAGAGCTCCTCACTTCTCCCCTGACTTTTCCTAAGCAGCCGAAACTTTGTGACATTTCAGGTTGGTCACTTTGAGATTCCCATTCCCTTGGGTTCTATTCAACTCTGTCCCTGCAGCCAAGTTGCTTCACCAAACTTGGCACAAGTGGAGGGAACGGACCAGCTGACCTGAATCTGAATTTTGCAGGGATGAAATGGAAAGTTTTTAGCTGCTGCCCAAGGCATCATGGCTGCAGCTCTGGAACAGGGCAGGGGGTCTGGCAGGGCAGCAGCAAACTCACCTAAGCCTGTGTGCAAAGCCAGATTTATCCTTTGGGCTGTTAAAGTCAGGCATGAAGAGATGACATTGCTTGCCAAAGGTTGTGCCTGAGTTTGGAAGCAGGGACGGACGGAGCATCTAAAAATCCCGTTTTTCTTGGCCTTTTTTGTTGGAACTGAGTTCTGACACCTTTTCTGCAGGGTGGCACTGACACACAGCAAACCCAGGGGATGTTTTTGACCCTACCTGCCAGAAAGCAGACCCTCCAGAGTCCCGAGTGCAGAGAGAGCTTGATCTCAGCCGTTTGGTTCTGGGGCTGGACGATGCCCTCCTCCAGGTAGAGCCAGTAGTCGGTGCTGACAGAGATGCCCAGGAGGCCGAGGCCACAGACGGCGAACACTGAGCTGAGCAGGGTCAGCGCCTTCCTGCTGCAGGCGCTCATGGCCAACAGCATCGGCAGCACCGTGGGGTGGGATGGGAGGAGCGCCCAGCACAGAGCCTCCAAACTCTGCCCTGGATTGAGAGGAGCCATTGGAACAATCACTGACAGAGCCAGAGCTTGAACCAAACCCCAGCACACTGCTGCTCCATGCTGTGCCGGGATGGGGAATGGCACGGCATGGGCTGGATGGGGAATGGCACAGCAGAGATGGGATGGGGAATGGTACACTGTCCTGGATTGCCAAGCAAATTGTATCATATTTACCATTGTATGGCAGTTGTCTTCTGTTAAGTGAGAAGACAATCTCACTTCTGTTAAGTGAGAAGACAACAACAGACAATCCTTATCTGTTCTACAACCACTCCTCCCTCTGGGGAGACATCTGCTGATAACAGCCATTGAATGTCACTGCATGACTGATAAGAACTACAGCATCCCATTGGGAGATGTGAGCCCATAGGGAGGAGCCAAGCATTCCTACCTGGATAGAATCTGGAGATTCTGGAACACCAGCCAAGCATTCCTACCTGGATAGAATCTGGAGGTTCTGGAACACCAGCCAAGCATTCCTACCTGGATAGAATCTGGAGATTCTGGAACACCAGCCAAGCATTCCTACCTGGATAGAATCTGGAGATTCTGGAACACCAGCACGGCTTCTCCACTGGATTTCCCAGAGGAACAGCAGCTGCCTCTTCCACTGGATCTTCAGAGGAACCTGCACCTTTCTACAGGATCCCTGCTCCAGCAGAACCAGCCCTGACACTGCAGGAGGGCTGCAGCCACAATTCCAATGGGACTGCTGCCCACAACCTGACCCACAGGGTGTCAGGTTGGGTTCTGACTCTGTCAGTGCTGTTTTGGCTTACTGCATTGTTTATTTTATCCTTTTATTTTCTTCCCTATTAAATAACTGTTATTCCTGCTCCCATATTTTTGCCTGAGAGCCCCTTAATTTAACATTTATAGCAATTCAGAGACAGGGGGCTTACATTTTCCATTTCAGGGGAGGCTCCTGCCTTCCTTAGCAGACACCTGGCTTTCCAAACTAAGACACACAGCATGGATAGGAGTGGGAGCAGCTCCTTCCTTGGCTCCTGTTGGATCTGCTGCAGGTGAATTCCTGCTGCTCCAGGCAGAGCTGGCACTGATCCCCCAAAGGATGGAGGCAGCATCTTATCTCCCTGCAGGGCCTTATCAAGAGCTGCCAGTCCCTGGCACAGGAGCTGCTGAGGATCACTGACACCACGATCAAGGATTAACAAAGCTGCTCTTAACTGCTGGACCAAGCCCAGCCCTGAGCAGCTCCCATCACCATCCCTCTCCCCTCCAACACTGCCACTGTTCCACTCCCATGGTAGATCTACCAATTAGGAGATCATGCTAATTTTGCAAAAGCCATGCTACATTTATGACATCATCAAACTTGAAGCAGAGTGGCATGACACAATAATCTGCTTTTTTGTTGTTGTTGTATTGCTCTTGCCAGAGCTGCCACTACCCTCCCTTGTCCAAACCCACCTTGTGCTCTGGAGAGAGACAAGGAAATGGGGACAGAGAGCTGCAGCCAGGCCTGGGCAAACCTTAAAAGAAAAGTTTCTCTCATACCCATGTCCCTTATGTATAGCATATTTTAAAATTATTATTATTTTACTGCACATTTGCTACTTTGGGCAAATTAGCAGTTCCTGTGGTGCCCTGCAGGCTGATAAAACAGCACCAGAAATCAGAGAACTTGGTGCAGTGGAGAAAAAGTGAAATTGGTATGGAGGGAAGGGTGGGGGGAACCCACAGCAAGAAAAGATTAAAGGAATAAGAGCAAGAAGGAAAAAGATTCGTGTGAGAGATGGTCTTGTGTGGAGTAGCAAGGAGGCAGATAGTGCCACTGACTGCTGCTGCAAAGGCAGAATGAATCACAGATAAGTGCCATGTCATGTATATTCCAAGGCACATTCTGCTGCTATTCAGCACTGCAAGCAGTAAGGAAAAAATATCTAAATCCAGCTGTACAACAAAAGCTAGTGACTTTCTAAGCAGGCTGCATCTTCCTTGGACTCCCTTTAGAGCTGCACTGGTTTTGTTTCGCACCCTCGGGAGTGGCTCCATCAGTGCTGTGCTCCCTTGGTGAGCAGAATCTCTGCGAGAGAAGTCCTGTTGCTGTTATCACTGCAGTAAAGGTGGTGGATTTAGTGATTAAATCAGGAGACACAAATCCTGCCTGGACCAGGAGATGACAACTGTCTGTTCCATCACGGTCAAACAGACTGGAGGAGGGTGTGTTTTTTTTCCTAGTGCCTCAGATGCAAATAGATTAATTCTCCCTTGCTTACACAGACTCTCAGAGATGCCAAAAGTCCTCACAGCTTGTACTTTTACACCTGAAAGCCTCCAAGGATAATGTTGTGCCATAATTCCCTCTTGGTGAAAGCGAGCAGGTGATGCTGAGAGAGGTTTTTTGCTCCTCCAGTGCTCTGAGGAGCTCTCAACTCTTGCAGTGCTCATCCCCAGCACTTCTGTCTCAAAAATCCACAGCACCAGCTCCCCACACCCATCCTGGGTTGTGCTTGCAGCAGATTCATTTAGATTAACATGAAGGAAACTTGTAGTTACTGTGGAGTCCAAAGAAAGGCATTTACTGAACAGATGTGACATCCAAGGTCTGTGTGCCCCTCCAGCTCACTGCTCTGGGCAGCAATAAGAGAGAAAAGCAGGGAATGCTGCTGGAAGAGTATCAAATTCTTGAGTGAAAGGCAGAGAAGGAGAGAGAGTCTTTAATTATCAGATCTGACCCTGAGTCCAAAGCAGGCAAGTACATCTTGGTAGGAAGCAGATGTACTCTCACCCTCGAGCGCTGCAACAGCTTTGACAATTCCCCTCCATATGAAATTAAAGATTTGGCTCTTCCTACGTTCACACTGAGCCTTTTCCCAGAAGGTTCCAACCTACAGGAAGGGGATTGCTGTCTCCAGACAGCCCAAGAAAGTGCTCCAGTTCACACTCCTGCAAGCTTTCCCTCCACCTTTGGCTTTGCTCACCAGCCTCATTTTCAGTGTTATTTAATGCTTCCCTCAGCTCAAGGAAAGTAGGATGTGTTCCCAGGAGAAATACCTCCGTGCTAGGGGAGCAAGGAGCCAAGTGCTGAGAGGATGCTCAGATTCTTTTCTCCCTGGAGAATTAGGAGAGAGCAGCCAGAAGAAATTGGTGGTTATGGGGCAGAGAAGCACATCAGCCCTGCAGCTCCCATTCCCTGGGGAAGATACCACCTCCCATCTCTAAGGACCCCATTGGATTCAGCAATCAAACAGCCAAAACACAGATCCTCCTGCTCATCCATTCTTCCCCTAGCTCAGCCAGAGCCATATTTTCTAGTTAAATGAGCAGCATTTACTACAGGGTGTCTCATCCCTCTTGGCATTTTGGTGCCAAAATGGTAGAAAGAGCTGGGATCTATTCTTGGCTCATGTATCATCAACAACCATCCTCCCTGCACATTTTAGTTAATAACGAGCCAAAAATCATAGTAGGGAGTATGTGAAGGTCCAGATAAAGACACTTAGAGGGGAATAATGAAGTATTTCCTGTGATTTGCTGTCCACCAACATCAGGCACTGGAAAATAGACCCATTTGGGCTTATTTCTGCTGGTGTGATGTGAGCAGCAGGGACAGGGGTTGGGCATCAAAGCTGCACCTCTCAATTGCCTCATTCGTTTCCCTCTCACACTTCAATTTCCATGAAATCATGGATGTGTTAGAGACTGGTGCCTATTTCTGCCTTGCTGGAACATAGAATCCAAGCTGATGTGATGGGGAACAGGGATAGGTGTTGGGGAAGATGAAAGAGAAAAGCCTTATAAATATGATTGTCTGGCAAAAGATTTTGAGAATATAGAAATATAAGTGAGATTGAAATGAAAGCAAGCTTTGAGATCCCTCAGTTACTGAACAACTGGAAAACAATGGTGTGGCTGGCTGAAGGTGATCCCCTTTGGATGGAACAACACCCTCTGCTTGCAGACAGCTCCAAGGCTCAGAGCAGACCCTACAGCTTGGCAGAAGGGCCCAAAGAGTAGATTTAGGGTTTAAAATGTAACACAGTATGGTAATGTAGTGATTCTTATAGGCTATATGGAGATGCTATAGGATTTGCATCTTGGACTAGATTGGTTAGTGAGAATTAGAATGTTCAACACAGTAAAAGATTTATTGTATTGGAACGGGAACCTCGCTCTCTTACTCTCTTTCCCTCCCATCCTCTCTCCCCCTCTCTTCTCTGGGGCCTGCTCTGAGCTGCGGCTGGCAGCTCCCAGCAGGGCCCTGCACCCAGGCCCTTTGCAATAAACCCCAAATTCCACCACCTGGCTTCAGAGATCTCTCATTTCCATCCATCCCGACCATCCTACCCCCTCACACTCCTACAGGCAGGGATGGTGCAGAACCTCTGCCTAAAACAAACCCTCCCCAGGCCCAGCACCTGGAGGACTCACAAGGCTCCCAAGGGAAAGGTTTTTCAGGGACAAGAACAGGAGCTGGCTTGATCATCAGGAAGGATTTAGTCCACAGTGACCTTTATCAATTGTGTTACGCTTCCTATGGCTGTTTGGTTTCCAACAGGAGCTGGATTTTAAATTAAATGAGTTGAGCCCCAGTGATTTCCAGGAAATGGAACCTCAGACCTGCTCCTGCTCCTTCGATCACACTGTGCATTCTGGTAGTAGTCCAGGGAATAATAAAGGCAGTCTGCAATGTAATCTGCAGTCTTCATAATGAATTTCTCTTTGCCTTGGAGCAACAGTTGCTGATGGAAACAGCACATGGCCCTTGCAGGGCCTGAATCCTTTGGGGAATGAAACGAGCACCAGAGAAATGAGCACTGTGTTTCTAACACAAGATTTGGGGTTTCTCCAAATCTGTTTCTCACCCAAATTTGGGATAAGTCCTTACCTGTAGCTCCACAGTCACAGAAAGGAAATATCCTGGGCAGATTTCTGAGCCCACATCTGTGGCCTAATGCCAAGCACAAGGCACTGCTCTGTGGGTGGGCTGAGAAAAATGAATGAATATATCACAGGTCAGCTGCCTGGACAAGATGGGTCACCTCAATAAATCACTGCCCTGGGCTCACCAGAAAACAGCAGCTCCCTCCTGGCCTGGGTAAAGGCAGAAGGAGCCGAGCCATTGATTTTTATGTGACATCATTTCCAATTTCCTGACATTTGGGAGGAAGGGAAGCAGTGCCAAGGTTATCAGAGCAGACAGGAGGGAAGGGTTTGTTTGTGGAAGGTTTGTTTGAGGTCCAGGACAAGCCTGGTGGCCTGTGAATGCTGCGAATGCCTGGTCCATGCTGCAAACCAAGGGCCAAGGGAAACCAGAGATTCAGCCATCGATCTGGAGCAGTGGGAGAGGCTGAGCAGGACATAAAGGAGAAGGAATGCAGCCAGTGCAAAAGGAGTAGGAAACCCTCTGAGTGAGCAATGGATGTACAAAGAATGTCAGGGACCTGGGGAGGAGCAATCAAATGCTGGAGAGCGTGAGCTGTGATGGAGCTGAACTGAAAGGACCACATCCCACTGAGCTGCAACAAGAAATTGGGCTGGCCAAAAATAATAAAGGGCCTTCAAGCAGTGTGATCCCTTCCTCAGGACACAATACAGGCCATGGATGTGAGAAAAAAATAAATAGGTCAAGGAGAGCAGCTCTCTCAGAGCAAAACTTCTGAAAGCTGGCAGTGCTTAGGCAGGCAGGACTGTGCCCAGGCCACCCCTGCACTGTCACCCTCCTTCAGACAGCACAGTCACCCTGGCACCCTCAGAGCAAAGCCAGAAAAGGCTGATTTGGTCATTAATAACCCTGGGGAAATAGAATTATCCCACTGAGCTCATGGAGCACCCAAAGGGTGCAAATTCTTCAGTCCCAAAACAGGGTGTGCAGGATGCAGCCTGAGGGCAGCTGAACTGGAGCTCTTTGGGTTGGCAGGGAAGGTTGGAGCAGTGTGAGGAGCACATGGGGAGCTGACTTTAACCACAGCTGAGGAAGAGGAGGAGATGGTGAGGGCAGCGCCCACGGCTCCATCTGGGATCACAGAGAAGCAGCTCCACAAACCTGACCTGGAAAACTGGGCAGCTGGGAAAGACAGTTCTGATTTTGGAATTACTGCTTGGGAAGAAACACACCCTCCTGAAGCTTGGAAAAGGTGTGCTGCAGGCAGGAGAGGAGCACAGGGCTGCTCTGGTTCCATAGAAGAGAGAAGAGATGGCTGCAGAGAAAAGCAGCATCTCCTGTTTTTCACTGAAAAAGAAATTTCCAAAGAGGATATGGGTTGGAGCTGGTCCACAGTGTTCCAGGTGCCCTGTCCTGGGCTGCTGGCACTCACCAACTCCCCTGGCACATGGGGATGCTGAAATACATCAGGCAGCTTTAAGAGCTGCATTAGTGTCACACAGAAATGTCAGCTCGGTTTCGGAGACAGAAAACATGTATCGGAAAAATTAAGTGCAGAAATAAATCTTTTTGATGTGGAGGAGGTTTAGCCTGATATTAAGAAATAAAACAGCCCATCTCATGGCAGTTTGAACAAGGGCTTGTAACAGTGACTATGAGCAAACAAACTTCAAAAGGATCAATACTGGGCTTGAAAGCCTCCCTCACTGGGAGCTGCCATTACCGACGCACGGACACGGCAGCACTGATCAATGGGCACACAGGCTCTCCAGGGAGCTTTACAAATAAATAAATGAATAAAAAGAAGGCTGGGTATAAGTTATTTAATCCCAGATTGAGCCACAGCAATAACAAACCTATTAATTTTGTGCTTGTCATCACACACCAGGAGCACCTGACAAATAATCAGTAAGAAACCACATGTGAGCTCACACGCTGCAAGGCTCACCACTAACTGATTTTGGTAATGAGATTGGGATTTTCTCTCTTAAACTTGACTTACATAATTTTTCTGAGAAGTTCTCTTTTCCGTAGCACTTCCTGTGCTTCATTTCTTGCCAGAGTTATTTTTTACAGTTTGGTGAAAAAAAAATCCTGCCATGGCAGTGCAAGAGCGATGGAAACGCTGTACAGAAACCACCATAACTTGAAATGCTGTATAGAAAGCACCGTAACTTGAATCTGCAAGGCTGACCCACTTCCCTCTCCTTCTTTATCTCACACCAGCCTTTTTGCTGTGGACTGCTCAAAACCTGCCCTTTTGCCTGGGTCAGGCTTGCAGAGGGTTGCTGCTGATAACTCAGCCCACCTCAGCTCCAAATATAAGGAGATCAAATGATATTCCCAAGGTCAAAGGAGAAGTTACTGAGATTTATTTCCCACCCCAGCCCTGAAAGCAGACCAATTCCCAAACTGGCCATCTCTGCCAGGCTGCTGCACTCTCTGGAGTGATGGCACTGCTCCAGCTCTTTCACACTAATGGCTTGGGATGAACCCAGCAACTTCCAGCAAATAAAATCATCCCCCAAGCAGCCCCCGTGCTCCTGGTTCACAGGCTGTGTGTGTGCAGCCAGCCTCATTCACATGGTCCTTCTGGATGCACAGATATCCCCCACAAAACTTTTATAGCACCCATCCCACCCACGTGTCTCCCTTTCCCTCAGGCTCTTACCTCTGCTAACCCAGCTGAAGGGATGCTTTGGCAGGAGGAGAACCTGTGATGGGGCTGGAGGTGGGAAGAGCAGTTCTGGCAGATCAGCTGCAGGGATGAGGGTCCTCACTGGAGGCTTCAGCTGCTGGATGGTCTGGGATGGCTCTGGAAACAGGCAGGGGCTGAAGGGAGGGCACAGCCCCAGCTCTCCCCCTCTGCCTGGCCCTCAGGAGGCTTGCAGGGTGCTGGGACACAGGGACAGGCAGATGGCAGGCAGGTCTCTGCATCCACGTGCTGGCAGCTCCTGCCCTGGGGTGGTGTAGAAAAGCACAAAGTGCAAAAATTACACAAAGTGCAAAAACTACACAGAGTGCATTTCTCGAGAGGGAAACAGAAGAAAAAGCTCTGAGCTTGCAATATTACCCACACACCCTGGTCCAGCTCTCCAGGTCTAACCTAAATATATCTGTTCAGAGTTTACATCCCTAACAATAGCTGAGCCCTGCCCTTTGCAGAGCTCTTCCCAAAGCCCTCTCTCCCCACCAACCCTGACACAGAATTCTCCTGCCCGCAGTGTGTCAGAATGCTCACAGCCAGGGACCTGAGCCCAACTGCTGCTTTCAATACCCTACAAAAAGCCACAAAAGCAGAATGAGAGAGGGAAATATCCAATGCTGCAAAGCAAAGCAGCTGGGACTGTGCTGGAGGAGCTGCAGGACCTCGCTGCCATGGGGGCTGTGCTGCCCATTAACCTCTGCCTGGGGTGCACTGGGGCTTGCATTTACATCCCAAAGGCACGAATGGCAGCACCCCAACGATCCAGTGACCCTGTTCAGTGCTGCCCTGGGCACAGGGACAGAGCCAGGGATGAGGAATGAGGGACAGCAGCTGGCTCAGCCCTGCACATCCCCTCACTCAGCACCAAGCTGGGCTGCTCTGGGGGGCTGTTAAAGCTTTAACACCTGGCCCTTTTCCCCTCCCAGGTATCATTCAAGTTGGCACAAAGTCCTATAAGAGCCTTGTAGATTAAAAAGGGGAGAATAATCCTCTTCCTTGCAGCTTTTCAAGGATTCTGTGTCCTTCCAGCAGCAAGGCAGGTAACGATTGAAGCACTCAAGCACCTCTTCTGTGAGATATTGATGTTGTTTTGAGCTGAAGTGGGCGTGAGCAGAGCCCCCAAACTCAGGGTAAGCACTTCAAGGGCTGTCCATGAAATGTCTCTGGGCTGTAAACACTCACTGCTGTGCAAGGTCTAAGAAAAGCGCCAGGTGCAGCCTGAGCTCAGCTCAGAGGGGCCAACACCCCCAGTTCCTTTCCCCTTAACGATCACTGCATGACAGCTTGAGCTAAATTAAGCTTGCTGGGAGGTAAAAATAGCATCAGGAGCTAATTAAAGCTCTCGCACTGCCTGTGTTGGTGGGTACCTGAGCTGGGGAGGCAGGAAGCCTCAGCTCTCCCCCCCCCTCCCGCTCTTCTCTCCAGTGCTGGAGGGGTTTTATGAACGTTTTCAGTGATAAATGAGAGGAAGGCAGAAATCCCTGTGCTCTCTGAGGGCTGCAGAGATGGCACATGGGGCAGGCAGCACGTGTGCCCAGGGCTGCTGCAGGGACTGCGTCCCTCGGCGTGCTTAAGGATGATGGATGGAGGGAGGGAGCAGTGCCTCGTTAGCCAGGAGGCTGCAATCCCTCCTCCCTGCCTGGAAACCAGCTCAGCTGCAAAGCCTCTGAGCACTGAAACGATGGCACAAAGTGCACAAGGGCTGTGTCAGCCACACCTCTGCAAACGACTTCACAACCCAGTGACACTGGTGGCTGCCACTGAACCAGTGACCAAGGCCAGCAGCTGCTCCAAAATGCTGATTTTGCCCCAGCATTTTGGGACACAGCTCCTTGGAAGCTGTTGGTGATGTCTTCATGCACAGCTCCCCAGGTGTGACACTGAGCAGCCACTAAAATTTGGTCCCATTTTCACACAGGAAAGGTGTTTGCTTTATGCAGCTTGTGGGGTTTCATAATTAGTAATATTAACGTACATAACAAGTGTTTATACATCCCTGGAGGTACTAAACTTTCTGCCACCCAGATTTTAGCAAGATTTGTTGCCAGTTCCAGTATTTAACAGGGCAGACAGGGCAGGAACAGCCATGCATGAAGTGGAACAGCCTGAGAACAGGCACGGGGTGCTCAGGAGGCCGTGGGCTCACCTGTCCTGCTCAGCACAGGGAGGTGCAGCCACATCCTGGCAAATCCTGTGGGAACAGGCAGGGAATGGACTTGGTCTCACTTTCCTCCATCCTTCCCCAGGCCAGCAGCTCCTCCAGGTGAGCCCTGGCCTGGCTGTGTGTGCCAGGTCTGCCTGTGCCCCTCTCCTGTTCCCTTTGTACCAGCAGTGCCTCTCCTGCCACCTGCACCTGACCTGATACCCCCAGCCAGAGCTGCTGCAGGGAGAAGGAACCTCTGTGCTCCCCATTTTGTGTCTCCTGGGGAGGAGCCAGGGCCACCAGGCAGGTCCTGGTGCTCCCTGAGGATGGGGATGGCATCAGGGAGCGCTGATGGGCACCGGCTGGGGAAATGAATTATCCACAAGTTGTCCTGGGTCAGTGGATGCAGCTGCTGTGCTGCTCCAATAACGCCCTCAGTGCAGCCCTGACATGGCTCTAACAAGGTTTTTCACTGATAAGCAATAGCTCTGTCATTAATAAAGAAAACCTGTAATTCCTGTCTTCCTGGAAGACCACACACAAACTCCACTCGTCTGTGAAAACCCATTTTCAGAGCCTGATGAAGGCATCTGTGGTGTCCTTGCACAAATTCCATTTTGCCAGTAAATATTTTAGCACAAATATCAGAAGTTGTGACTAAACAGCTTTAAAAATCAGTGTGACTTTGACACCAAACCATCTTTCTAGAACACACCTAGAACCCAAACAGTCTTTAATTTCAGTGAGATTAAGATCCCCACATCACTGGATGATGGGGTCTAGGTCAAAAGTGATTTTAGAAATGCCATGTTAAATCCAGGGTGTAAAACCCAGGGCTTTTAAATCTTCCCAGCTGATTTAGGAAAAGCTCCTGGTGCTCACTCCAGCCTCTCACAGCTCACTGATACCATTGAAATCTCTGCAGGCTTGTGCTTTATTTCTCTTTTGTATTTTATATTCCCTCCCCTCTCCATAAATAAAGCTGAAGCTGCAAAAGCTGTGCTATGGATGCTGCCAGGTGGAAATTCATTCAGCTCAATGAATATATTCAACAGCTCCAAGAATACAGCAAGGAATGAGAGAAACCCCAGGCAGAGGCATTTCTGTGCCCTGGATGTCACCTGGGGCAGGGTGTGATGGCACAGGATGCGCTGCTGCCAGCCAGACTCCTGCCCTGGGGCTTTTTAGGTGGGTCCTGACACGACAGACTGAAATGTGCTGCTCAAAGGGCGGCAGAGGAGCCTCTGAAAGGAGCTGAGGCACTTGTGAAGCCAAAGGGCAGCAGAGATGGAGACACAGAACGCTCCTCCAGCAGAGCTGCCAGCCCGGGTCAGCACTCACTGCTGCTGCGGGAAACTCAGCAGAAATTCTCTTCTTCAGCTGAAATGCTCTTTAGCAGCGCTTTGGCTGGAGCTGTGCTATCTCCGGGGAATGCAGCACCCTGGCTGCCCTTTCCAAAGGCTCACCTGCACCGTGCAGGCACCTGATGGGGACTCCTGTCCCCCGGGGGGGTTTGGGGATACAGGAACACAGTGGGGATACAGGGACACGGTGGGGACACAGGGACACGGTGGGGATACAGGGACACGGTGGGGATACACGGACACTATGGGGGTACACGGACACAGTGGGGATACAGGGACACAGTGGGGATACACGGACACGGTGGGGATACAGGGACACAATGGGGATACAGGGACACGGTGGGGATACAGGGACACAGTGGTGACAGCGGTGCCGAGGTCCCTGGGCACCCCTGAGTGCTCCTGCAGCTCCGTGCCTGGATGCTCCAGCCCTGAAGGCTGCACCAAGCATCCCGTGCCAGGGCTGGTGAAGTTCTCCCAACATCCGGCGATTAATCAGGAGCCAAAGGTGGTGTGTGACAGAGCCTTTGTCATCACATCTCACATCTCATATCGCACATTTCAATCTCACCGCCTTCCCCGGGCTGTGGGTAAGGGGCTCGTGGAGCGAGGACAGGCTCCAGGTCCCTCTCTCTGTTCTTATGGTGACACAGGATCCGACCCAGCCTCTCCCTCACCCCCGGCGCTTCCCTCACTCCACTTAAGAACCAGGTCAGGTTTCTCTCAGAGAGCCTCGCTCCATTCTCACTCCTCTCTCCAAGGGGTTTGCTCAACACTGCGAAACATTGACAGCCCGGCTTCCCGCACATTTCCCGTTCCCTGGGAAAAGCTCCCACCCGTTCCTGGGCACAGCGTTCCGAGCTCGCCCTGAGCGCGGGGATGCGCGGCCCCTGCCTGAGCAGCCAGCGGGGGAAGCCCAGGGATGAGGATCTCGGGGATTTTCCGCCTTCCTCGTGCTCAGGTCCCTCCGTGGGCAATCGGGAGAAGCCAAACGCCGCCAGCCGAGCGGTGCCAGCCCCGGGCAGGGCACACGGGCACCTGGAGGCACCTCCGGGGCTGGCCGGGATGCGGCGGATGCTGCCCGGGGCGGTGCCCGGCCGGGTCCCACTCCACGGGGAATACGGAAAGCACAGGGATACCGCCCCGAGCCCTGCGGCTCCGCATCTCATCCCTCTTCCCTCGCCTGTAAACTTTCAGGGCTTCACATCCCATTGGGAGCCCCACGGAGCCATCCCCGGGACCATTCCCTCCCCGCTCCCGGGTACGGAGGGTGCGGAGCCCTGCCCGGGCACGGAGGGAGCCCCGGCCCTGCCCTCCCCACGGCAGTCCCGGCACTCACCGGCCCCGGGATGCTGCGGGCGGGACGCGGCCCCGGGGATGCTCCGCTCGCTCCGCGCCGCGCCGGGAGAGCCCGGGGAGGAGAGGGCATCACATGGCGCCGCCGGGGCCAGCCCACCTCTCCCTCCCCTCCGTGCCCCCGTTCCCTCCCTCCCTTCATCCCTCCTTCCCTTGCTCCAGCCTCCCCTTCTTCCCTCCCCTCCCTCCCTCCCTCCTTCTCCATCCTCCCCTTCTTCCTCTCTACCCCCACCCCCCGCTCGCTTCCCTCTATCCGCCTTCCCCATTCCTACCTCTCCTTTCACCCCTTCTCTCTATTTCCCCACTTTCTCTCTATTCCTCGCTTTTCCCCTCCTTTCCCTTCTCCCGCTCCCACCCCCGAGCTGTGAGCAGGCAGGGATGGGAGCCAGCCCTGCTGCTGCCCCTCGGTGCCTCCTCCCTTCCCTTCCTGCACCTGCACAAACTCTGCTCCAAGCGCTCCTTTGGGACCGGGGCAGGGGCAGCTGCTCCAGCAGCAGCGGGAAATGCTCAGCTCAGGACAGAGCAGACAGCGAGCCCGGAGTGCTGGACAGAGCCAGCCTGGCAGGGCTGGGAGCAGGCAGGACAGAGGGACACAGGGACAGATGCTCTGGAAACCCCTGCCAGCCTGGGTGATTCAGCCAAAACACAATGAGGGCAGAGCCAGGAAGAAAGAGGCAGCTCCATGGAGGTGCCAGCAGTGGGACACTCCCTTGGATAGAGCAGGGGGGACATGGAAAGGGCCACCCACCATGCAGGAGTCCCAGAGAGCTCATGGGTCCCATCCCAGCGCCTGGAGCTCGGGGCTGTATGGAAATCTCTGCAGGGACAGCTCATTCTCTGCAGGGCTTTGCTCACACTCCACAGTGCCCAGCTCCCTGGCTAAAACGTGCTGCATCTTTGCTGAGGCGTCCCCAGCTAGCAAAACAGGAGTGCTTGAAATAGAAAAACCCAAAATAAAGTGACTCTGAGATGCGGAGGAGGTGTTGTTGGGTGGCTTGTTTGGAATCAATGGAGCCCTGTGCTCAGGCTTGGTGAGCTCTGCTTGGTTTGAGAAGCTGATGCAGATGTGGAGGTTTGGATTTCTTCAACCAGAACGTGGTAGAGCCCAAAATAGGCAAGTTCCAGATCCAGACTGGTAGAAAACTGCCTCCCAGTAGGTTTCTGGTTATTTATACTTGTAAAACTCATGCCATAACTTATATAACTTATATAATAAGTTCTTTCACACAAAGTTACAGCAATACTTAAATTATAGTGAATTCAGCATGTTTTCGTGGGCTCTTATTCCCATTTGGGGAATAATTTAAAGTAGCAAATCCCTTGGGGGTTTGACAGCAAGGACAAGGCAGGGGTTTGGTCAGCAGAATGGATTCTGCACTAGAAAAGGCAGCCAGAGGGGCAATGCCCTCTGGGGATCCCAGGAGAAAGAGGCTTCCCTGGGATGGAGATCATGAGCAGGGAATTGCCAATAAAATCACAAATCTACAGGAGGCTTGTTAGGAGTGGATGTTCCCCATGTGCTATCAGGGTCGATGATTTTATCACAGTAATTGGCTGCTCATCGTTCTTCTTTTCTCTATATTGTTAAAAAGAAACCACAACAAAGCAGACCTTCATTTTTCCTGACAGACAACCTGCTCTGCTGCTGCCTGGGCCCTGGGCAGGACCATTGGAGTGCAGCACAAATAAAGCTGCAGCTCACACAGTGACATAATTAACCACACAGTGTGAGAGGCCCCCAGCAGCCATGCATGTAATCAATTAGAAATACACGTTCTGAGCTTCAGCTTCTTCCCCTCCCCTTTGTTTCCATGCAGATGCACTGAAACCCTTGGGTGGATTTGCTGCTGCTGCTGCCTGTCCCACACAGCAGCTCCTGCCCAAAGCTCTGCACCATCACCAGGAGCATTTCCCACAGCCAGGACCAGAGGGAGCACCAGGGATGCCTCCCAAAGCCCAGCAGCAGCACAGCTCAACTCTCCCCCCTCATTAGCAGCTCTCCAGAATTCCTCCCCACGACACGAACTTCCCTCATGATGGGAAAACCAACGAGGTGGAAAATCCTTCTCTTGGACAGAAGCTTGGCATGGCTGATCCAGACAGGACAATCAGCACTTTGCATCTTCTCAGCATCCCCCCAAGCCTTGGGGCAGGATTTTGCCAAGTCCTGCAGTAGCTGGATTCAGTTAATTGTTTCACATAACACCAGCTGGCAGCATCATTTTCCTTCCCCACTTCTCACTGCTCATTCTGGGCTCTTTCCTCGTGTGCATCCTCCTCCACAGCCACACGTGGGGCCAGTGAAGCTGCTAGGGACCTTGGCCAGGCCAGGATGTGCCACAGCTGTGCCAGACTCTGCAGGGCCGGGCTCTGCAGCTGCCTGTTGTAGCCCCCTTTAATCAGCGTGGAAGCTTGAAGCTCCATGGACACCTCAGCAGCAGCTTTTAGGATGCACCCAAGGTCAAACCTCATTACTGAGGAGGGATTTGAGCTTCATTAGAGGCTCGGAACAGAAGTGATTTGTTACAGCAGCTCTCCTGGGCTGGCAGCCGTGCTCTGGGGGCGGTGGGCACGTCTCATTTCAGCTGCAAGGGTTTGATGCTGACAGGTGACATCTGCAGGGATGCTTTTCCCTGGTCTTTTCCCTTTCAACCGAAGCTGCCTTGAAGGCACTCAGGTTATTGTGAAATAAAAGGTCTGGTTCTGTCAGCCTGGGCCGCCAGCTGCTATGAAACCTCAGCTTTGCCTCCCCTCCTGCTCCCTCAGATTTGTTCTGTGCTGAATTATTTGGGCAGCAAATCCACCCAGCAAAGGGCAGGCACCCCTGAGCCCAGCCATGGCTCTGATCTGGTGTCAGACAACAGCTCCTGAGCAGTTTTACCTGCACACCAGGCTGGGAGAGGCATTTTGGGCACAGGGAGGGGAGCTCAGCCTCAGCCAGGGGTTTCAGTGTTTGCCTGAGCAGTGAATGCACCAAGCTGGGATGCTGGAGCTGCTGTGCCTTGTGTGGGAGGTGAAGGATGCTCTGTGCCAGCTGTTCAGCTCTTGCTGTTTTCTGTCATTTCGTGGGCAGCAGGGCCGGGGGGAGGCACTGGATGGGGAGGGGTGCAGCAGCCCCAGCACCACGGCCAGGGAACACAAGGGCAGCTCCCAGGGGCTGGGAAACACCTCCTAAAGGAGACTTTGGAGATTTTTGTTTCTCTTGGGTGGTGTTTGTGCGGTATTTCACACTGGGCAGCTGTTGCCTTGTATATTGAGAGTTCTATTATCATTATAGTGCAAGGATTCCATATTGCTGGAGTTTTGTACCTTCTCAATAATTTCTCACAGACAGCTCCTCTAAGCACTGACTCCTCCTGGTCCCACCAATCCACTCTTTCATAACACTGTCCTTATTTGCTGCAGGTGTGGCCTGTTAACATCAGGCCTGCTCCTAATCTTTGATAATTGCTTCAGCTGCAACTCTTCAGGGGATATGATTGATTACATTCTGTACCACCTTCATGAACCCATAGTGTATCCCCCTACAGGCAGCAAAACTGGCACCAGCAGCTGGCTTTGGGATGAGCACACCTGAGCAGTCCCAGCACTGTGCAGGTGGGATGAGCACACCTGAGCAGTCCCAGCCCTGTGCAGGTGAGATGGGCACACCTGAGCACTCCCAGCACTGTGCAGGTGGGATGGGATGGGCACACCTGAGCAGTCCCAGCCCTGTGCAGGTGAGATGGGCACACCTGAGCACTCCCAGCACTGTGCAGATGGGGTGGGCTGCTGCAGCCAGGTCTTGTTGTCTTGTGGAGATAATCAAAACTCCACAACTTTTGTGAAAGTTGTAAAGCTGGTATGTTTATTGCAGCGTGTGGGAATCGTTCCCCTAAAATGACATGTGTACTTCTGGGAACTTAGGTCTTTTTTTATTTTTCTCTCAAATACATGTGCATATAATTTCACTATAGGTTCATGCATATTCATTTTTACAAATTTCACATGACATTTACCACTAGTTCTTCTTTATCAGAAAGAATTCCTAGGTCAGGTTGAGCTGCTCTCACAGCACTCTCTCTGTCTCTCTCTATCACCCTCTGTCTCCCCACCTTTATCTCTGTCTTTCACTGAATCAGTTTCTCTGAGCCCAGGCTTTGCAGTCAGGCTACATAGCCATGTTTTCTAACCACAAAGATTTACATTTCACTTAAATCAAAATGGATTTCTACTCTGGAGAATTTTTACTTTGTCTTACTGTGGTGTGGAAGGAGTTCAGCACAACTTCTGCTCCTTATCCCAACAGCGTTGCTGCTTTATTTTTCAAACACTCTAAACAGGGAAAGACGTAAAACTCACAGCACCAAAGAACAGCAGCCCTTCCCCTCTCCCTGGGAGGGTTTTCACATCCTGCTTGCACCAGGACTAAATTAAAGGAATTAACTCTGTGGGCTGTTGGAGCTGCAGCTCCATTTGCTGTTTCCCCTGCACATCCCTCTGCCTGGATCTGCTGCTTGGGAGGAAGCTCAAGGAGAGGTGCCACATTATTTTTAACCCAGCACCCACATGCTGTGTGAAAGCCTGGAAAAAAAAAAAAAAAAAAAAAAAGTGTGGAGCCTTTCTCAGCCTCCCCGAGCGGCTCTGACTCACAGAACAACAAAAGGCACACGTGTGAATGGAAGTTAGAGATTTTGTTTAAAATAAAATAGCCTCTGTCATCATTTGGGGCTAAACTGGGGGATAAAAGAGGAGGATGGGCCAGTCCAGGAGGTTTCCAGGTGCAGCCTTTGGCCCCAGGCTGCCCAGGGATCTGAGCATCCCCACATGGGAGAGAAGGAGTCTGAAAGAGCAGGGAGTGCCCACATTCTGCCCTTTCCCCCTGCAGGGCAGTGCCCTACAATGAGACAAGCTAAAGTTGATGCTGGCAGTGCTTTTTCCTCACTCCTGGTGTTTTCTGTGATCCTGCTGCACAAGGAGTGGAATTTCCACAGCACAGGGTCCCTCTGGGAGCTGCTCCTGGCTCTGGACCC